CTAACATAAGTTGGTTGGAAACAGCAGTTTTAAATTTACCGCTTGTTGTGTGACGTCACACTTCGACAATTTTGATTGGTCGCATGCACGTGAGCATACCCTTATCCTTATACCATGATGCGGAACTCTCGGCTTGGTCGCCTCGTGCAAGGCTCTCGGAGCGGTCGCTGCAGCTGGTCGGAAACGGCCGACAGAGGCAGGGCGAGCCCTACCGCCGCGGTGCAGCGAGACGGTTCGAGGAGCCTGCTAGGAGCGGTGAGTCGGAGAGCGGAGTTGAGTGCAATAACTGACCGGTAAATGCCGGTAGTGGCAGAGAATACCCTTACCACCGCGCTATTGCTTCGGATGTCGGATCTAGGAGTCGGTCGGTGTACTAGGATCAGGATCAGGAGCAAAAAAGCCCGGAATATCCTCTCGCCGTGCTTTTATACTAAATTGTTGCTCCCGCTCGTATTGTTCCGGAATCATTCGGTGACTCTCGGCGTGGAACAATACGAGCGAGAGCTGCGGTGCTCGGCGTCGTTCGGCGACGCTCGGGTTTTCGCGGACTTGCGAGTTCGCGCGGCCTGTAATTATGTTTGTACTTTCTTAAATGTTTCGAGCGCACCGCGCTCTCATCGCGTACGGTGACCGGGGGGTCACCGTAGCGGCATCCGGCGAGTTGGCATTGCCGGGAACGATGCAGTTCTGGGGGTGCATCGTTACAATTGTATTAAAGTTAGTACTTAGTCTTTTAAAAAGTATATGAATGCAATATAAATGTTGAAATATTGTTGTGATACTGATCATGAAACAATGTGATATTGAAATGCAATAATATGATATGAAAATGTACGAAATTGAAACATATATTGTGCACAAAATGTATTGCAACAATAAGCAAAATATAGTATTGTTTTTGTAAAAACGTGTAGTTATAAATAATATGAATAAAATATCGCAGTCTTATGGCTCCTGCACACTGGAAGCGGAAATGCTTGCCACACTCTTAAAGCTGTCATATTTGCGAAAATTTCAGTCATAATCATAAAATTATTAATAAATCGATCAGTTACAATTTAGCATTTTTAAATGTTAAATCGTAACTTTAGGTATAATTAATAATTTGATTCAAACTTTATGATTACATTTAAGAGAGTGTTTATATTGATCATAACATACATCATATGTCGCAATTTATAAGAATTAATCAATTACAGTCGAGTTCTACCTTCTCATTCATATTTCTCATTCATATTAATCAATTCTTCCAGATTACGACATACGTTCAAAACCAGTTAACTAAAATCACTTATGCTCATTTCCACCAATGTAGATTATAACTTTAATCTCAGTTCTCAATTTATTCTTCGTCTTTTTCTAGTTCTAAAAATTAGAAAAAGATGAATAATAAGTTAACCCATGATCAAAGTTAATCTACATTGATAGAAACGGGCATTAAAGTTTAAATCTGAAGGCATAAAGATCAACCGATTATATTTAAATATGAGAATAACAATCGACTACGATAGAGAAATTTTTTAGAGCTTAAAATGTCAAGTTTAAATAATAGCCTATTACACTCAATTTATTCATTGTTAACTTTACATCAAAGTAATATAAAATCAAAGGCATTGAACCACTACGCCAGTTATCATCAGCGAAAATGATATATTCTTTAAAATTTTTATTAACAATAAGACGTTTTGGTCTAAATTAGACCATCTTCAGTTAACATTCATATACAATGTAAGTAAATTTAAACGAAACCCAGAGAACATGAATGTCTAAAAGACAACTTAAAGACGTCTTAAAAGAGACGTCTTTAAGACTTGTCTAAAATACGTCTTTAAGACGACTTTTAGTCAAATCCCAAAGACATATCTTTTTGAGACGTCTTTTAGACGTCCG